GCCAGCCATGTCCTGTGCCAGGGTGGGATGGAGCCCGGGTCCCTGCTCAGGGCTCAGCTGCTCTTGTGCGTCCTGGGGCACAGATATTGGGGTGAAAAGGAGGGGGGGGGAAAAGTGTATTATGTTTCTTTTCCGTTCTGCAGATCACTGTGAAATCCTGCCCGCCCAGCCCTGCCCACCCCCCAGCCGCCCTCACCCCGGCAGCCCTGCCAAAGAAACCGTGCTGGCCAGGGGGACCTGCTGCCTGTCCCTGAGGGGGACATGGTGCCTGTTCCCAAATGGGGTGTGCCATGTGCCCCCGAGCAGGTCACACCACCGGGAGCTGCTCCCCGGGTGCTGCTGAGGTCCAGGCTGGGGGCACCCAGTGTTGGGGGGGTGGGAGGTGCCCCTGCAGTGGGGTGCCTTGAGGTGCTGGGGGGGGCAGTAACACCCCGGGGTGCTGCAGTGCAAGGGGTGCTGAACCCCCCGCCCATGCCCCGCACTGCTCCCGGCAGTGCCGGGGGCCCCCGCCCAGGAGGGCAGCCCCGGGGACCCTCACCCCCCCAGGGCACCCTGCTCAGAGCCACCTCATCAACCAGGGCCAGGGGAGCCCCCTCGGCACGGCCACCCCAGGGAGGCTGGGGAGGGCGCCAGGCGCTAATTAGTGCTGGGGTTAATTAATGGTCATTCTGCTTGTAGCTTTTTCAGTGTGTGTTTGGTTACTGTCTCTGGGAACCGTGTTTGAACAGATGGCTCTGTGTTACCGGGAGTGTGTGTACTTCTGTAGTCGTTAGGTGCTCTGCCAGAAAACCACCACTATACATACCTATAAATATATACATATATAGTCTATTTTAAGTTAAAAACCAATGAGATGAAGGGGCGGCATGGCCCCGTGCCCCCCCCCCGTCCTGCTGGGGTCGCCTCCTGCCCAGTCCCCACCTGAAAGCTTCTCTCTGCTCATTCAAAGGCGTTGGGTTTTTAATTGATTTTATTTAATTTATTTTTAATTTCTTTGGGGTTTAATTTTTTTTTTTTGTACAGAAGAGTTGGAAAACTTAAAAAAAAAAAAAAACAACAAAAAGACAATTTGTAAGATATCGTGCGTGTGACTCCTTGTAAAATATTTTCAAATGGTTTATTACAGAGACTCAGTTATTAAATAATGTTCATATTTTCACTTCACAGGTGGTGGCTGCATCATTGCCCGGGTACATGGGCAGGGCCAGGGGGGAGCACGGTGCCAGGGGGGGTGGGCAGGACACTGGGATGCTCCTGCCAGCCAGGCCACTGCCTTCACACCTGCCTGCAACCTGTGCTGTGAGGCTGATGGGCAGGAGACATGGGCAGGACACATGGACAGGACACATGGACAGGACATGGACAGGGACACACGGGGACAGAACACAGGCAGGGACACACGGGCAGGGACGCAGAATCACGGAATCACAGAATGGCAAGGGTTGGGAGGGACCTTGGGAGATCATCTAGTCCAACCCCCCTGCTAAAGCAGATTCACCTACAGCATGTTACACAGGACATCGCCCAGGCGGGCTTTGAATATCTCCAGAGAAGGAGACACCACAACCCCCCTGGGCAGCCTGTTCCAGTGCTCTGTCGCCCTCAAAGTAAAGAATTTTCTCCTCATATTCAACTGAAACCTCTTATGTTTCAGTTTGTACCCATTGCCCCTTGTACCCTTGGGCACCACCAAGAAGAGTCTGGCTCCATCCTCATGACTTCCACCCTTAAGATATTTGTATGTGTTGATGAGGTCCCCTCTCAGTCTTCTCTTCTTCAGGCTGAACAAGCCCAACTCTCTCAGCCTTTCCTCATAGGGGAGATGCTCCAGTCCCTTTATCATCCTAGTTGCTCTCCTCTGAGTCATAGAGTTTGATTTGAACCAGTAAGGATTCTTATTTGGGCCACAGAAAGTTACCAGCAACAAACACCACTTTGCAGCATTTGTTATTAGTAATAAAAAAACCAAAAGAGTATTTGCTATTTTTGCAGCTCCTTAGACATCCCCGTTACACCCACTTGAAGCCAATCTCACCTTCTGCACCATCTGGAGGAACAGCACTGGGATTAACCTAAGGTCCACTGAAGTCGGTAGCCGGTTACTGACAGCAGCCAACTGAGGATGTCCACAAAATAGCAAAAGATCAAAAGAAGCCCACAGTGAGCCACAGATATGGCCTTGCATTTCTCTTCCGTGTCCATGTGTCATTTGAAGCACCCCGAATTGTCATTTTAAGCTGCTGCCTGCTGAAATGGCCTTACCAAGTCAAAGACAGCCCAGAACATAGCACAGTCAATGTCCGGTCTTGAGTTTTAACTGCCTGGCCTTACCAACCTTGCCAAAAGCCTGAAGATGTATCTGTGCCCATAACACCAGAAAACCCATTAAAACATTACTCAGTCTTTCACCTACTTCTTGTTCTTTCACCTTTGAGACACGTTTTTACATGAGAAGTACTTGAATGACAGCCCTAGCAGCAGCCCATCACACCAGAATAATAAAGGATTAATTACCTCCGTCATCAGCACTCTGTTATTATTTGTAGCATCAAGCGCTTGCTCTTTTCTTGTGAGCTACAAATGCCTGGGAACGCAGAAAAGACGACACTGTACATTAATTCAACAAGTCTTCTAGCCTGCACCTGTGTTTAATTAGTTACTCTCAAATCAGACCTGCAGAGCCAGAAGCTGCAAGTGAGAGCACCGCTGGCTGCTGGCCTGGCTGGGCTGCCGGTGCAATTAAATGGCTTCTTACT